GCAAGAGGTAGGGGTAGAGGTTGACCATTAAGGGGCAGCATGGGGAAAATTATGGGGGGATTGGGAGGTAGTTATAAAACTGTATTCTTTTGCCCAGACTTATAGAACTATGCTATAAATGGTGGATTTTACTGTGTGTAAATTATATCTCAATAAACCTACCCACACCACTGCAATGGTTGTGTGCCCAGCTTCTCTCTCCTGACTCCTCTTCCACTTTATTTAGCTCCATCATGAAGTCACTTCCCACACCCCAAGCAGACTAAACCCCACTGGAAAAGCTTAGGGACCAGAACTCGAGAACTGACCCTGCCCTCACAGAGCGAGCTGCCCTCAGGATCCCCAGTGAGCTTTAAAAGGGCCAATGCCCCATCCCCAGCCTGGGGATTCTGATTCAGTGGGCAGAGGGTGCAGCCTAGACATTGGGATTTTTTCAAAAGCTGTCCAGGGGATTCAAATGGCCTAGACTCTGAGTTCCCTAAGAGCAGTGACCATGATTTATTTCACTTTGTATCCCCAGATACTCAGTAAATGTTCTCAGTGCAGCAAATGGCAGCAGAGGGCAGCTCAGAAAAGAGCTGATAATAGCTACAAATGCCTTTTGGGCCGTTACCATGTGGCCACCACTGTTCTGGGTGCTGGACATGTATTCACTCAGTTGATGAGTCCCCACCCCAGTTGCCAGGGAAATAGGACCATGACTACCCCCTTTTGACAGGCAAGGAAACCTGGCACAGAGTAGCAAAGAGTCTTGTCTAAGATGACACAGTCAGCAAATAGCAGAGTGAGACCAGGGCCCACTAACCACTGCGAAGTGCTGTGCTCTCCATTCCCAGTGCTAGCTGGCGCCAGGCCTTGGAATTGAACAGGCCTGGGTTTGGATCTGGGTTCATTACTTATAGGCTGGGTGACGTTGGACAAGTTATTTAAGCTTGCTTGGCTTCACCTTCCTTATGTGTAAATATGATGCCAAAGGCTGTTTCAGGATGAAATGAGATGAGGACTGCGTGCCGAGTGCTCACTGCATAGCAAACACTCCATAAATGATAGCAATGATGATACAGGAAGCAATGAATGAATGAACGAATGTAGCCTGCTCCTGGATGCCAAGCGTGCCGGTGGCAGGGCCAGCTCCTTGGGGCTACGGAAGGGAGATGTCCCAGGAGAGATAGCAGGGACAGGCAAGCTCTGCTTCCAGCTGGCTCGAGGCCCACCAGGCCCTCAAAAGATGCCCCTGCCCAGGCAGAAGCCAGCTGCCCTCCAGGTGAGCTCCCCTTCCAGGGTGGGGACATGTGGGCACCAGAGCCAGCAGACTGCCAGGGAAGCCTCAGCTTTTTAGAACTAAGGACCCGTGGTAGTAAAGACCAGAGGCCCCTGGTGGGACCCGAGCCTGGGACACACAGCGTCATCAGGTAAGAGAATCCACACAAGCCCCCCAGGACCTGAACCTCAGCAGCCCCTGGAGGAGCCTCCAGTTCTCCACATCTGCGGCTTCCTGGCAGGTGGGCCCCAAGCTCTGCCCCTCACCATGCTCCATATTTGTTAATGGAATAAGTGACTCCATTCCTGCCAGGGGCTCCCAGGCCGCTGGGCACATGGTCTCTGGCCTCTGGGCACTGGTGCATTAGTGACACAGGGACAGAAGGCAGGGCAGGTGAGTCTTTCTTCGTTCCTTTATTTTCCCCTTATTGTGGGAAAGGGACTTTTGTTCTTGTGATTATAGAAGTAATACATGATATTGGGGAAAAATTCAAATACCACAAAGCATCTAAAGGAGAAGGTAAAACAACCCCCTTCAAGTGTGTTGTGTATCCCTTTAGGTGAAACAGATGTGAGATAGCTCTATCCAAGCAGGAGTGGAATAATCTAGAGCACAGTGGTTAGGGTGCTACATCTTCTACCCCAAGTTCTGTGAGCACAAGCAAGTTACTCAACCATCTGCACCTTGGTTTCCTTATCTGTAGTTTGAGGATCATACTACAATATCTATTCTTAACGTTATTAAGAATGAAATGAAATAATCTCTACAAACGTCTTCGTACCATGCCTGGCACATGGTGAGTGTTTAAAAATGTTAGTTCCCTCCATGGTTATTATTCACTTAACACATCGCAGGCATCTTTCCATGTCAATACATGAATATCTAAGGCTTCTTGTCGAGTAGTTGCATAATTCTCATTGCATCATTTTTTCTAATCCCTTTTGATGGGCATGAGTTTATTTAATAAGTCTCTTTTTGATGGATACTTATGTAGTTTCCAATTTAGGGGACAATTGTAAACAATGTGCATACATGAGGTTTGTTGCACAGCATTTTTCTTTGGGGTAAATTCTCAGAATTGGAACTGTGGGTCAGTGGGTGTGCAGGTAGAATGCGGGTGCACATGGTTAGAATGTGAGGGTACTCGCGGTTAGAACGTCAAGGGTATGCAGGTAGAATGTGGGGTGCGCATGTTTGGAATGTGAGGGTGCTGATGGTTAGAATGTCAGGGGTGTGCAGGTAGAATGTGGGGTACACATAGTTAGAACATAAGAGTGCTCATGGTTGGAACTCCAGAGGGTGAGCAGTTAGCATGTGGGTGCACATGGTTAATATGTGGAGATGCTCACAGTTAGACTGTCAGGAGTGTACAGTTAGAATGTGGGTGCATATCGTTAGAATGTGGGGGTGCTGACAGTTAGAATGCTGGGTGCACAGGGCTCAGGCCTTGGACCCCTTCCTTCTCCAGTCTCATTCTCACTTTAAATCCCATCTCTAGGATAACAGCTCCCACACGTACACTCCCAGCCCAGACCTGTTCCCAAGCTCAGATACCTGTCTGCTTGCTGTGGCCGTGAGCAGGCACCTCCGCCATGTCTTGTCCATGTCAGAGCTCCTGACATCTGCCGCTCCCCAACCTGCTCCTTCCTCTGTCTTCTCATCTCGGCGAGTGGCAGCTCCATCCTCCACGTGCTCAGGGCAGAGACCTTGGTGCCACCTGCAGCTGCCTCCTTCTGTCCCTCCAATTCACTCTGTAAGGGAATCCTGTCCTCTCTACTCAGAGTAATTGCAGAATCCGATCCCTTCTCACCACCGTCACTGCTCCAGCCTTGGTCTAAGCCATCCCCTCTCTAACCTGATGGTTGCCACAGCCTCTAACAGCTTCTGTGCTCACCCCTTTCTGTCCATTTCAGCAAGCAGCTGAGGGCCTCCACATCTGCCTCCCTGCACCTCACCCTTGGTGATCTGGCGGCTTCTCCTAAGGCCTCCCTCCTGCTCACTCTGCTCCAGCCACACTGACCTCCTCACTGTTCCCCACATGCACCAGCCAGGCTCCCACCTGAGGACCTTTGTACCTGCTGTCCCCCGGCCTGGACCGCTCTTCCCCCAGATGTCTGCATGGCTCCCTCCCTTACTTCTTTCACTGAGGTGGTTTTTCAAACATCAACTTCTCAGCAAGCCCTTCCTTAATTTTCCTTTTAAACATACGTACACACAGCCTTCTCCCTGTATTCCCTTTCTTGTCTTTTTTCTTCTGCTAGGGTGGCCAGCTGTCTTGATTTGCCTAGAATGGAGGGGTTTTCTAGGACTTGAGACTTTCAACTTTAAAATCAGGAAAGTACAGGAGGGTTGGTCACCTTATTTAAGCACTTATCACATCTAACACGCCCATCTACTATGCCCTGTATCTTATTTATTTTATTGATTGTCTCCCACACTAGAATATAAACTCCACGAGGGCACAAATTTTTGTCTGTTTCCTGCTGCATCCCCAGTACAGGAACCACAACTGGCTCCTAGAAGATGCTTAATATTTGTTGAGTGAACGAACAAGAGAATGAACTCACAGCCCGCCTGCTCCCCAGAGAGATTTTGCCAATGAGGTTTTGATGAGGGTTTTTTTGTGGGTTTTTTTTTTTTTTTTTGTCCTTTTTGAGACGGGCTGCACCGCGCTCAGCCAGTGAGCGCACCGGTCATCCCTATATAGGATCCAAACCCGCGGCGGGAGCGCTGCTGCGCTCCCAGCGCCACACTCTCCCGAGTGCGCCATGGGGTCGGCCCTTGATGAGTTTTTTTTAAAACACTCTACAGATAAATATGTACAATTATTATGTGTCAATTAACAGAAAATAAATTTAATTACAAAATCTATTTAAGGAGAAAACAAACAAGCAGACAAACAAACCTGCAGGACAGAAGTAGCCTTGGGTTGAAGGCAGGCAACTGCTGGGCCTGCAATGGGGGTGACCTGCCCATTTTTCCTTCTCTGAGGGCAGAGTCTACTGGGAACAGCTGAGGGTGTCTCGGCCCAGGCTGGGGCCACTAATGTGGCTTGCTGACCACTGCCACCCCCTGGAGGCCTCTTATGAAAAGGCAGCCTCACCCGCCAGCAGCAGGGGCGGGGGCAGAGGCGCCCCTCCCCTCCCCCTCTCCCACCTTTCCCTCCTGTCTTCCCCTCCTTTTCCTCTCCTGTTCTCCTCCCCTCTCTGCTTGCCTTACTGTTCTGCCACCTGATGGAAATAGCCTTGACCTGAGCACACTGGGTTAAAACCCAGCTCTGGCATCCACTAGCTGTGTGCCCTTGAGCCGATCACTAACCCTGTCTGAGCTGCTGTCCTCATCTGGAAAATGGGGATCATAACTCTTGACAGTAAAATGGGATAGTCCACACGAAGCACCTGGCACAGCGCCTGGCCCAATAGATGTTTATTATTTGTTATTATTATTGCCATGATGCCTGGCACCTGACAGGTGCACAGCCGTTGGTAGTTTGCTCGCTTTCTTCTTCAGCCCAAGTAACCCAGGCTGCACATTAGACTCATGTGGGTACGCCTAAAATGTCCATTCCTCTCCTATCCCAGATCAGTTAAATCAGATATGTTTGGTGGTGGACACAGCCACTGGCATTTCTATTTTATTTTACTTTATTTATTTATTGTAACACAGTTGATCATATCTGTGGGGTACAGAGTTGAGTATCAATATCTGTGTGCAATAAAATTTTAAAAAGTAATTTATATACTTTTTTTCACCAGTATGTTTTTAAAGCTGCCCAGGTGACACTAATGAGCAACCACACTAGGGTGACCAACAGTCCTGGGTTACCTGGAATTTCCCCAGTTTTAGCACTGAAAGTTCTGTGGTCTACGAATCCCTCTGTCCCAGACAAACTGGGACATTTGGTTGTCCCTTTCCCAAAGGAATGGACCCATATTTTCTGCATCCCAAATCAGGACACATGGTCTGGGCACAGATGACTGGCATCAATTGTGTGAAAGCACAGCTTGGGATGGTGGGTTGGCCCATGGCCAGAGCGGGGCTCTGACTGTGGCATAGTGGGCAGGGAGTGGCTGGCTGTGGGTCAGTTGGACTGGTCCCTGTTATTAGGCTCCCCAGGGCTCCAGCCGCTGGCTGCCCGCTCCATGGCCTTCACCCAGCGGCTGCTCAGCTCCTCGGTCTCGGCCTTGAAGGTGTAGACCTGGCCTGACTGCTGCAGCTGGAAGAGCCGGGTGTCCCCCTGGGTCACAGCAGTCACTTGGTAGCCCAGCAGGGGGATGGAGGTGTGAGCCCGCATGTCCTGTGCGGGAGAGAGCAGTGGGCCCCTGTTCTCCCACTTCAGTCCCACCAAACAGCCACCCACCCGTGCCCACACCCCAAGCCCCCATGGAGGGGAGTGGGCTGGTGGGAGGACTTCTAGGAAGAGGAGAGGAGTACAGCCTCCCCTGAGGGTAAAGCAGCTGTCACCTGGAGTCTGGGCCCAGCTCTGAAACCCACTATCCCTGTGATTTGAGGGTCCCATGTCCTCGTTGGGCCTCGGTTTCCTTATCTGACACATGGTGCCAATATTCTGACCCCCCAACTCTACCTCCCCCTCCAGACACATACTGTGGGAAGGCCAAGGCGTGGGCGGGCAGTGGTGGCACTACCTGAGGGGCAGCGTAGACGTAGAGCACGAGGGGGTCATCCTGGGGGATCACACACCAGCCCCGGGGGCCACTCTTGCCCCACTTGTCCCCAACGAGCTGCAGGAAGCTGCACATCAGGCTCTGGTCGGACCCTGCCAAGGATCCTTTCTGAAACCAGAAAGAGGGGCTGTCAAGGGACAGGGCACCCACTGTGTGTCAGACATTGGTCTGGGGGCTTGACACTCACTATTTCTAATTCTGGCACCAATACTAAAAGGAGGGGTTATTTGTCTCTGAGACTCAGAGAGGTCCTATCATGTGCCTGTGGTCACACAGCTGGCCAGTGGCAGAGCTGCAGTCGAAGCCCAGCCAGCCTGAACTTGTGGCATGTGTGCCCACAGGGGGTAGGTGCTGGGAGGGCTTATCACCTGTGAGTTGCTCCAGGAAACAGAAGTGGGGTCTTTGAAGGGGCTAACCATCTCCAGAGGTGGGCTATGTTGCTTAGTGGTCAGGGAGGGCTTGGGCAAGGCCTAGGCCTGGAAGGATAGGGAGGATTGGAAAGGGGGTGGATGTCCATGGAAAGGAATCAACTTGAACCTGGCTGCTGATCTCAGCTGGAATAAACTGGGATCTTCTCCCACCTTCCAGGGACAGTGGGAAGTCAACCTGGCCTTTATGAGGGAGGGGCAGTGGCGTGGTGGTAACCAACGTCTGGGCTGGTTGGCGCAAAGCTGAGCACAGTTGGTGCCCCATAGGGGACTGCGTGTTGGGGAGTGGAGGGACTCAGGGAGGGCCCAAGGGCAACAGAAAGACTATCCGTGGCAGAGATCACATAGCTGGCTCCTAACATGCTGTGTGATGTTGGGGCTCCATGGGATAGGACCCGCTGGTCCCTGAAGTCCCTTCCAGTTAGAATGGAGTCTCCAATCTTCCTGACCCAGAGCCTCAGTGTCCCCATCTGTAAAATGGAATTGGTGACACCAGCTCTGTTCACCTCCTGGGACTGTTGGGGACATTAACAGGAACTGTCCAGGGGGCCCATGCTATTATGGGATGGGGACACAGAGGAGGGGTGGAAGAGCCTGGACCACAGCCTGCAGACAAAAGTTGCTTCTGTTTGGTGACAGGCCCAGCGCTGTTTCAGTTGGGGGAGGGGTCAGGCGTCTGTGGACAGAGAGAGAAGGAGGGAGCAGCAGGGAAAGTGTGACCACGTTGGCTTGTTCCTCAGCAGCTAGGACAGCGCCAGCATGAGGTGGGCACCTGGGGCAAATGGAAGGACAGCCCTCACCTCCAGGATGCCCCGCCTCTTGTCCTCCTTGTCCTCGGGGAGCACGTTTCCGGTGAGGAACGTGTAGCAGTCAAAGCAGACTCGGTTGGGCCTGTTGTGGTCATATTTCAGCTCAGCCCGGTAGTCAGAGCACCTGGCACACACCACCTGAGGAAGGACGGGGCCGAGGTGAGGCACAGGAGGACTGCATTTGCACCTTGGCTGGGGCAGGGGCATGAGAGCAACCAGGAGCAGGAGGAGGAAGAGAAAGCTTTGAGAGAGGAACGGAGGCAGAGCAGGGACATTCCCCTGAGCTGACAGAGGCCCAGCTACCTGGAAGCTGCGGTGCATGTGGGGGAGCTCAGGCTCTGGGCTCCTGAGCTGGGGGCTTGAGACCTGGCCCCCACTGTGCGGGCCCTCACTTCTCTCCCCTTCAGAGTCCCCTTTTGTGAGGACAGGCCCCTGGCATTGCATTCACTTTTCCAGGTGCTCGCCTCTCTGCCTTCTCACCTGACTCTCCCAATGACCCCACCAGGCAAGCAGGGCAAAGGCTTTTGCCCTCACCTGACAAACAGGGCATCTTTAATGTCCCACAGTTTAGCTTTAAGATTCATGCAAATGTTGCATTCCACTCCACTGAAGAGTCAAGTGTGTTCTTATATAAAAATGATGAGCAGGTTGTTTTTGCCAGGAAGACCTGCCATGAGTACGCTGGAGTGGGGCCCATCATGGAGAACCCCCAAAAGGCCTGTAGATCACTGGGGAGACCGGGTAAAAGAGGCGGGAGAAGACTGGGAAAGAAACAGAGTGCTGAAAGATGTGACTTCGAGGAAGACTGGGGTGTCCCAGAGAGCCCAGGATGTTGGCTTGGAAATGTGGGCAAGGGGTAGAGGGAAGAGGGTTATTCACTGGGAGGCACCAGCACACAGGCAGCTCGTCTGTGAGCCCAGCACAGCGTGTATCCTGGAAGGGACCAAAGGAGAAGGCTTGCCCCACCCTCACCCATCAGGCAGGCAGGGGAGACAGAAACTGGCACCCAAACCACCGAAAGGATGACTCACGGACTCACCAAGCACGAAGATCTGCCTGGGCATGAGAAACTCCACAGTGGGACAAGGTACGTCACATAGCCCCACACGGGGGCTTCCACTGCCTTGGGAGTATTTTACTTTATTTATTAAGAGATTTAAATTTTTAAATATAATCAGGAAATACATATTTTCTTCTCGACCAACTTTTTATTTTGAAAATTTTCAAATCTAAAAACAAGTAGAAAAAATAATACAATACTCGCCACTAAATTCACCAATTGTTAACATTTTAGCCACATTTGCTTTATTTCTCTCTCTATATGTATTTTTTTTCTGAACCATTACAGTATGAATTACAGTCATCATGACACCTCACCCCTAAATATGTAGGTGGTATCTCCTAAGAACAAGGGAATTCCCCCACTTATCCACAATGTCATGGTCACACTCAGGAAATTTACACTGTACAATATCATTATCCGTCATAATCACATTTCCCCCAATGGTCCCAAATATCAACCTTGGTCTTTTTTTCCCTCCATTCAGAATCCAAGCAAGGACCATACATTTCATTTAGTTGTCAGAATATTTTATGTCTTGAGCTGGAAGGCAGGTGCATGGGTGTTGTTATTCTCTGTGCCTCTTTGTATTTCTTCACTATTTTAAATAATTTTTTAGGAACTACTTACAAAACTGCAAGCGTGAATCAATCCAACTCTTGTTTACAGATGTGAATCACCAAGAACAGCAGCTAATCCCCAGATCCTCTCTATTTGGTTCTGGGAGGTAACACATCACGTACATCTGAACCTAGGTGTGTCCTCAGTGCTAGAAATTTACTTCGTGTCCTGATTTCAGTTTAAGGCATTTTGGGGACACGCCTCTGACTGGCCCAAACCTGTCCAGCTGGACTTCTCCTGTCCCTTGGAGGTCAGGAGAAGTGACCCGGAGGTCAGGAGAAGTGACCTCGGAGGTCAGAAGTGACTGAGGTCGCGAAGGGTGTTTGCAGAGTAGATGGAAGGAGTTGTGATGTCAACAGAGAACAGCTCAAGCTCAGCAGGTGCTTAAAAAACAAAGCAAGATCTGTCCCTGGACTGATAAGAGGAGGAATGGGGAGAAAACACGGTTCCTTCCTCAGAAAGCTGGTGGCTCATCCTGCTGGGTGAGCCCTGCCTGTGCTATTGAAGAGAGGGAAGGAAAAGAAGAAGGAGAGGGAAGGGAGAGAACATTTAATTGTTTTTTTTTTTTCCCCTTTTTGTCTTTTTTCGTGACCAGTAACAGGATCGCAACCCTCGGTGTCGTGCCCGTACCGCGACCGGCAAAGGGATCGCAACCCTCTCTGTTGCTCCCGCACCATGCTCAACCAGTGAGCGGACCGGTCTCTATATGGGATCCAAACCCTCGGCGGGAGCGCCGCTACACTCCCAAGCGCCGCACTCTACCGAGTGCGCCACCAGGCCGGCCCAGAACATTTAATTGTTGAATCCTCACGACCACCCTGGAGGTAGGTATTGCAATCCCCATGGTATAGGTGAGGAAACTCAAGCCTGAACCAGGCAGGCAGAATTAGCAACAGGGCCGATTGGGTACAGTGTGCTAAGGACTTGTCCAGAAGAAGAGGGGACAGTTAGCTGAGGCTGGTCAAGAGGAGAAGACAGCAGGGGTGGGTGGGTAGGTGTGCAACAGGCTGGTGCAAGGGGTGGCTGGTGAAGTGGTGGTGCAAGGCCTGAGGGGAGCTGGGGGGTTGGATTCCCCCCACATGGGAGCTGGAGACCATTTCTTAGCTCTGGGCCTGGGGGCTTTGGGAAATGGTAGTAAGAAAGCAGGTGAATTAAGAGGGTCAGCCTTAGGAAGTGTCTTGAGCAAGTCATTTAACCTCTCTAAGCCTTGTGTTCCCATCTGTAAGATGGGAAAATAGCAGCCCCTGCTGCAGAGGTGCACCATGAGGGCCGAAAGAGGAACCTGGCCTGGTGCAGAGTTAGTGCCCAGTGCTACTGTGTAGCATTGGTTGAAGTTGGCAGAGTTGGCCGAGAGGAGGAGAGCAGGGCCTGAGCTAGGAAGGTGAAGACCCGGATGGGGCAGGTGGAGACAGGGGTGCTGGCAGGTGTACTCACGTAGCCACAGGCCCGGCAGTGGTGGCGACGGCGTGTCAGGGCGTTGAAGGGCTCCCGGCAGCGCATGCACATGGTCACCATCTTGTCCCGGACCCACTGCGGCGCCCGGAGGCCTAACTCCTCAGACTGCAGCTGTGGGGCAAGGGGGAGTTAGGTAGGGGTGGGCCCTTCATGCCCCTTTTTTGCCCACTCTCTGAGGTCCTGGAGCCCTCTGCCCACCTGCTGTGGCAGGGATCTGTGTGTTGGGTTTCCAGGGGCTTCCACATGAGGTTGACTGAATTGATAAAGACGTTATGATAGGTCAATTACTGTTTTTTCTATTTTACAGGTGAGGAAAGTGAGGCCCAGAGAGTTCAAGTGACTCAGCAAAGTCACCCAGCAAGTCAGAGTTCAGAGCTCAAATCTAAAGTCAAGTCACAGACATTCTCCCTAATCCGCACCTTGTCCTCCTTCCAACTTCCCTTGGTCTTATGTTTCTCAGATACCTTCAAACCCAGTACTGCACCACCCCTGCAGCCAGAGATACAGATGTGAAATCCTTCCCCAGGATAGTTGCGTATAGAGGCTCCCAAAGGAAGTTTTTGCTAATGGCAGAAAGCTTTGGCACTGAGTCACTGAGTAGGGTGATGTTGGGATGGGAGAGCTTTCCCTGTTCCCCTCAAATTATTCCTGGTGGTGACACTCCCTGTCCCTCTGAGCTGGCCTGGGTAAAGCAGAGAGAGTAAGCTCTGTTTGGGCTGCCAGCTCCAGAGAGGGATGCAAAAGGCCTCATTTACCTTCTGCTCGTGGGTGTCTCCCTCAGGTCCCTGGACTGCAGCCTTGAATGTCTCATTCCGCTTCTCAATTTGGTCAATGGCTGCTTGGCAGGCCTGGGGGGTAGGGGGGAGGGATTGGGGGTATTGATGGGTGGGAGGGAGGGCTTGCTCATCTGTTCATTCATCCACACATTCAACAAATGTTGCTGAAAGCCTACTGGGTGCCAGGCACTGGACTGTAAGCACACATGGGTGACTTAAGGGAGGAGAAACTATTAGCCCCAGATTACAGATATAAAAACCGAGGCTCAGAGAGGTTCAGTGACTTGCCTCAGGCTGCCCAGCTAGACAGTGAGAGGCAGCAAGATTTGAACCCAGGTCTGACTCCACATTACCACTGAGCAACTCTGTAGGAAGAGCAGGGAGGAGCTGGGCATGCCCCGCTTTGGAAGTGTGCACACACACACACGCACACGCACACATACACACACCCCTCCCCACGCCGAGCCTGAGTAAGGTAGGGTCAGAATCCTAGGACCCTGGAGCAATCAGATACCTGTATCCAGGAAATCATTTCCTCCCGGGACCTGCTCGGAAAGTGAACACAGGTGTTGAGGAGAGCGGCCCCTCCCAGTTTTCCTGCCTCACCCAGCCCCCAGGTGGCCTACCGGGCTTGCAGCTCTAGGGTGCGTTGCTTCCCGGACACCAGGAAGGAGTGGGGGAACTCGGCATCAGTCAGCTCCCGCACCTGCCAAAAGAAGGAGGGAGGTGACCTGTTCAGACTCGTCATATCCCCCCTCCACAAGCACAGCACTGTGGAGTGGAGGGCGATGGATTGTGTCCAAGGGACACTTCAAATTCAGGGGACGAGATGGGGAGCTTGTTCACTGCCTCTCTAATCCTGTTCAGCCAAGCAAATGTGCCTGCCACTGGGCCTCACTCTAAGCAAATGGGACTTATGGTTCCCGGAATTTAGCAGCAGCTAAATTGGCCCCGTGTGAGGCAGAGGTGACAGGTCCTGACGATGGAGTCACCAAAAATGGAAATTGGATCTCAAAACCGGATGAGTATAAGAGGGTTCATTGTATCATTTTCTTGGCTTAAAAATGCCCATAATAAAAAGTTAGAGAAAATAATCTTCACAGCAATCTTGGGAGGCAGATATTATCATCCTCATTCAGGAGATGAGGAAATGGAGGCGCAGAGAGGGGAAGAGACCTGCCTGAGGCAACACATTTTGTTGGAAAAAGACATTTGACTGCCATCTGCTGGACACTTTTCACCATAAATATACAATCTATGATACTGTATCATAGTCTGCTAATCTGCATTCTGCTGCAGATGGCAGCTCTTAGATGAGGTATCCTTGTGCAGTAACCAACCTGCACAGCTGTACACGGAGTCCCTGAGTATGTGTGCATGCACCCTTTCCTTCTTCCCAAGCTGGCCCTGTGCAGAATGGCAAAAACATTAAGGCCTGGTCAGACCTTGAGGAGAATCAGCTGCTGCGAACTAGGCCTCCCTGACACCTAGGAAGTAGGAGGCCACCAGGTCACAGGCCAGTAGGAACCATCACGGTGGTCGAAGGCCAGACCTGCCTCCAAACCTCAGACTCTGAAATGGTTCCCGCACAAACGTGGAGAGGGTGGACAGCTCTGCACCTGCCAAGCCCATGCTATCCAGGAGAGGGTGCTGTGTGGCCACCAGAATATCAAATAAGCTCACCAGGACAGGCAGACACCAGGAACCTGGCACATACAGGGCCCGTGAGCCCTCAACACACACTCTAAGCATGTGACACTCTCAGGCTCGTCTCTATTTTCTCTTTAAGACTCTTGGCTTTCCTATCCGTCAATCTCTGCTTCTTTTTCTGTGCTTGGATCTCTGATAGTCCTATGACAGGGCTGCCATCTCCATTTCTGCCTGTAGCTCTTTATAATCCTGCCTTTCTCAGTCTCTCCAAGGACCCCAGACACACAAGCCTGCACATGCCCTGGCCTCTGGGAGAGCCACTTCAGGACGGAAAAGTAGATGTCTCAGGGTGCGAGCTGCACTCCTAAAAGACCTTAGCCAGCCCAGGTGTGGGGAAGGCTGGGAACCCCCAGAAGATGCCCATGTCCCCCCAAAGCCTTCATCAGTCTCAGACCCTTGATTCTGCCCCAAAAGGCAGACAATCCCAGTCAGGAGCAGGGGCCAGGCTCTCCTGCTGGGGTCTCTCAGAGGCCAGGGGCTCTAGAGGAGGGAGTCAGAAGATGCCCATGTCCCCCCAAAGCCTTCATCAGTCTCAGACCCTTGATTCTGCCCCAAATGGCAGACAATCCCAGTCAGGAGCAGGGGCCAGGCTCTCCTGCTGGGGTCTCTCAGAGGCCAGGGGCTCTAGAGGAGGGAGTGCCCAGGCTCAGGTCCTGCCTGCAGCCCCCTCCTGGGGCTGATCGGGGGTGGGAGGGGAGGATAGGGAATGCGGGGATGTTACAAGGTCATGCTCTAACCAGCTGAGCTAACTGGCCAGCCCTGAGATGGGCCAGAGCAGACCTCTGCTTCTTCCAGCCCAGCCCTCAGGACATGTCAGGATGCAGGAGCCATCAGAGAGGGACAGTCAGGAAGGTTCTCCTGCCATTTCCTTCTCCATGCCTGAAATTCCACCACAAGCTTTATTTCTCTGGGTTGTAGCCTTTATAGGAGAAGGTATAGCACAATGATTAGATGCAGGGGCTCCAGACTCTGTTACACCTGAGTCTTTAAAGCCTGGCTTGGTCACTCAAACCAGGATTTGCTGCATGACCCTCAAGCAAGTTACTTGACATAGAAAGGTTTGCTAGGACCTTGGTTTTCTTATTTTAAAAAATGGGATTAGCTATAGATATACTCACACACAGGCAGCTGCACAAGGCTACTTCACTACAGTCTCATTTGCAGCTGACAACTGAAAACAATCTAAACGTCTCTCAGCAGAGGACTGGTTGAGCGCATGACGGTACATCACGTAGTAGCACACTACGCAGCTGGGCGAAAGCGTGAGGAAGCTCTAATGTACTGCCGTGCAACGATCTCCAGAATGAGTTAGAAAAGTAAAGTGCGGAATGGTCTGTAGAATACACCACTGTTTATGGCATAAAGTGAGGAAACGATAACATGTCATTTGTTTGTATATGCAAAGACTACCTCTGGAAGGCCTCGTGACAAGCAAAGGCTGCCTTCAGAAGGGAACTAGGGGACGAGGTAGGAAGGAGACTTTTCACTGTATTTATTTTTTATAGTGTTTGATTTTTAAATGTGTATATCTATGTTTTTAAAGTAATAAAAGTAAGATTATTTTTAAAAGATAGATGATAACAGCCCCTATGTCACAGGGCTGTTATGAGGGTCTGGTGGGATCGTGTAGGGCCCAACCCACAGTGGCCGCCCAGTCCATGGGCACTGTTATGATTGCTGTTGCTGCTCATTGGCAGCCATCTCTGCGTGGGGACACATCCGTGCCAGCAGCTGAGCTGGCAGTGCAGACCTTCCCCACTCAGACTGTGGTGTATGGACCTGCAATCTCAGCATCACTGGGAGCTGCTTAGAAACTCAGGATCTCTGGCACCACCCAGACCTACAGACTCAAAACCCAGGGGATCCATGCACACACATAGTTTGTGAAGCAGCAGTGTGCACAGTAGGGAAAGCAGGGCGAGGCCAAGCTGGATCGTGCCCCAGAGTGGGCCGGGAACCTGGGAAGGGCCCTGGCAGGAGGGCTGGGAACCCACGTGGGCTAACTTTTCCATCTCCATGTCTGCCCAGGACCTGCCGGGCTTTGGTTCTCCCATTGAGAACCTGGTTTAGCCCCTACTGCTGCTCCTCCTACTCAGTCCCACTCTCAGGGTGAAGCCTGACTGTGCTTGGGGGGCCTCTCACCTTCATCCCGGCCACGTCGATGCGGGTCCTCACCTGGAAGTGGGCGCCCACCTGGATGACCCGGGGCACACAGTACAGCAGCATGTTGTTGAACTGCAGGGGACACAGACATGAGTGCGTGGGCAGTGGCAGGGCAGGAAGGATGTCAGGCAGGTGTCCCCGAGGGTGGACTGAGTATGACTGGATCCCCTCCCTGCTTGCCATACCCTGGGCCAGCTCACAGGATGTCACAGGTGACGAGGAAGATGAGGAGGTGGTCTAGCCCCCAATCCCACTAGGATAGTCACTGAAGGGTCACCCTATCTGTGGGCATAAGGGATCATCACAGACATCAGAAACCTATGAGGCCTTTCTCACAGGGGCTCAGGGCAGCAGGGGGCTTATGAGAGGTTGTAGCTCCCTTCCCCAGATTGCCAGGCAGGACCACTTTTCCAGATCTCAGGAGATATCCTGGCTTCCTCAATGTGAACACAGGGCAGTTCTTCCTGGCAGCTAACCCATTTCCCTCCAGCTGTGCACTCTCTAGAGCACAGATGAATACCATAGGCTTTGGCGCCAAGCAGACTGGGTTCAAGCTCTGTTGCTTCCTAGGCCATGTCTGGGAAACCTGTGGGTTGGAAATCCTTGAGCCTGGAGTTAGCACGTGCCTTGTCCAAGGTCACCCTGGTGCCAAAGCAGAGAAGGACAGAGAAGCAACCTCCTTTTCTCTGAGGAACCGAGTAGAGGCCAGGCAGGCACGACCTGGGCCACAGTGGCCTGTGGGCTTCCCTTCCCAATGTGGAGTAAGGCTGCCAACGTCACCTACCAAGAAAAGGTAGCGCTCCATGGGGTCGCTGCGGCGGAAGGAGATCTTGAGGACTGGGCCCTCGCGGAGCAGGGTGTTGGAGGGGTCCACTATGTCGTCCTCGAGGCCCAGGCGCTGGTACACCTCCCACAGTTCCTGCAGCCGCTCCTAGGATGGGTGGATGCACCCTCAGCCAAGGCCTGGCAGGGCTCACCTTCTTCTAGAAGGTTTGTCTTGTGGGGACGGGGATGGGGATGTGGGTGCGAGAGGAGGGCAGCAGTGGGACAGATGTCATGGTGGGATGGGAGGATGAGGGGACACAGTGACCGTGGAGTGTTGGGGATGCTGAGACCTGCAGGAAGAAGGAGACAGGGCCAGGGGAACCACCGCGCCTGCCCCTGTGGCCGGCTGCTCACCATTTCAGAGATGGCTGCGTTGGAGTGCTGAGCTGCCGAGAAGATCATGTCGAGGGCTTCTGAAGAGGGGGCAAGACTTGAGTCATCCCCTGAAAATCTGGGGCTGGTTCTGGTGCAGGTCATGGAGGCGTAATAAAGCAGCCTGAAGACCTACCACAAGAGCCCCCAGGAGCGGCCCTGCCTGTGCAGCCTGGCATGTGGGCTGTCTAGGCCACCCAGGGTGGACAGACTGGAAGCCACTGAAAGGCAGCACTGTGGGACATTTTTGGCTTCTGTGACTCTTGCTGCTCCCCCAACCAAGCCAGACCCAGAGGGAAGGAGCATTGGCTTTGGCATCATACAGGTATGGGTTCAAATCCCAGCTTTGCTCCTTTCTGGCTGTGTGACCTTGAGCAAAGCACTCAACCTCTCTGGGGCTTGGTGTCCTCATCTGTAAAAAATGGCTAATGGGATGGATAATGTCTATAAAGTGCCAGTGAGGGACGTTGATGGCTGATGGTCATCCTAACCACTTCAGCAGGTTCTCAGTAACTGTATGGGAATAGCTTGGGCCTCCCCAGCCCCCTGGACTTGCTGGGGGTATCCTCACTCTGGGCATCCGCCCGGTCTGGGGCCTGGGCTGGCAGCTTCTGGACGTACTCCTTGAGCAGCAGCTCATAGCGTGGAATTCTTTGCACTGGTTCCAGCATGTGGTGCTGCAGGGTCAGGCTGCCCGAAGCATCGCTGCTCTTGGGGAGGGATGGGGGAGCAATGGGAGAGAGTGAGAGTGGGGAGGGGTGGGTCAGGCTGCCCCGAGGGTCAGGGGAGTGGGCGAGGTGGGTGGGTACTAGGGCCTGTGGAAGCAGCTGAGCCCGGGAGATGCCCCCAATCACTGAGGGGAATGGAGTCACTGTATGCTGGGGGCAGCAAGGCAGGTCCTGGCCCTCCCCAGCCTCACCTGGATGCGAGTGATAACCTCCTGGAAGGGTGGGGACTTGTCAGTCCAGGTGGCCAGCAGCTCGGCAGCCCGCTCGAAGTTCTTGACATACTCACTGTACATCTTCAGGAATGGCGCCAGTTTCTGGATCACATCACCGATACAGGGGGTGGCTGTCCTGCAGGAGGGGTGCCCCGGGATTGCCCTCAGCCTGGCAACCTCCTCTTGGTAGTCCAGACAGGGCCACATTAGGCCAGACCCCCTGAACCCCCTAAAACAGCCTTTCCACTGCACTTCAATTGCCCTCAGCCTGGCAACCTCCTCTTGGTAGTCCAGACAGGGCCACATTAGGCCAGACCCTCTGAACCCCCTAAAACAGCCTTTGCACTGCACTTCAGGGTGCAGGCACGGGGCTGGGGGTGTCATCCTCACACGGGTGTGCCTCCCCCTCCTCAGACTGTGAGCCCCCTGAGGACAGGTGCTGTTCTTGTCCACTGATTGTGCCCCCTCACAAGGCCCAGCACAGTGCTGGGCACTCAACAGATGTTCAGTAACTGATGCTTGACTACGGGACAATAATGAGGGCCACGTGCAAGCACTGCTGAGACACCCTGCATGTCTCATCTCATCTCATTCTCACCACCCCGAAGGTAGGGACAGTTCCTAGCCCGTCTCAGAGATGAGGACATGGAGGCTGAGAAGGTAAGAACTTATCCAGGATCATCCTGTGGCAGCAGGGACTGTCACAGCAGAGCAGCGAGGAGCCACAACTCCAGAACTGAGCTGCCGGAGCTTGATTCCCAGCTGCCCCAGTTGCTCTAGCTGTGCTTTCTTGGGCGAGTCCCTTAGCCTTCCTGCACCCCAATATTCTCATCTGAAAAAACGGGAATGATGGTAGGCAATCTTACAGGTTTGTTGTTTTTTGTTTTTTTAAATTTTATTCTGAAAATTGTTAAGCAATCATAAAGTAAAAAGAATATACTGATGGACCCCTGGGGCCGGCCTATGGCTCACTTGGGCACACACACACACACACACACACACACACACACACACACACACACACAGAGCCTCTCAGTGTCATGGCCACACAGCAAGGGCATGGGCCTGACAGCCTTAACTCAGTGTCACCCCTGGGCCAGAGCTGCAGTCAGGGGGCCTTGGGGGCTCCTGGTGAACCTCACCAGTCATCCAGGCGCTGCTGCAGCTCTGGGAGGAAGAATTGCGCATGAAACTGGTAGATGGAGGAGATATTGGAGAAGATGAGCCTGACCACGTCCTCAGGGAAGGCCTTGCTGCTGCGGGCCTCCCTCAGCAGCTCCTGGAAGAACACCTGCAGCCACCCACCCGGGTCACTCATGGCTGTGAGGGAGCCACCTGCACACCTGCCCGGGGGGATCGGGGCCTCTCCAGTTTACTGAGTGCTCTCACCTCCTGAACCTCTCAGCATCCTCACAACAACCCCAGGAGGGGACAGGCAGGGAAGATTGTATTCCGGGCCACTTTACAGATGGACAAACCAAGGCCTATTGATGCAGGGACTTGGCCAAAGGCTGGCAGTTGATGAATGTCAGAGACAGGCCTATCCTGAATCTGTCATGGTCTTGGACATCATCAGGCTAAAGCTGGTGTACTGATGTTCACTGATTTAATCCCTTAGGGCTCCTTAAGAAGGTGCAAAGGGGTAGGGCCTACCCTAGGGTAGCTCACTTGAAAGAGCGTGGTGCTAACAACACCAAGTAAAGGGTTAAGATCCCCTTACCGGTCATCTTTAAAAATTCCTTATGAGAATAGGAAGAGACATGAGGGATGTGCATGCACAGAGGAAAGGCCATGTAAGGGCGCAGTGAGAAGGCGGCCGTCTGCAAGCCAGGGGCAGAGGCCGCAGTGAGAAGGCGGCCATCTGCAAGCCAGGGGCAGAGGCTTCTCCACAAATAAAACTTGTTGGCACCTTGATCTTGGATTTCTGGCCTCCAGAACTGTGAGAAAATAAATTTCTGTTGTTTAAAAGCCACCCAGTCTGTGGTATTTTGTTATGGCAGCCTGAGCAAACTAATACAGAACTCAAGTGAGACCAATAGAAAAACTGTCCAGCAGCAGCCCAGTCAACCCACAAAATTATGACAAATAATACATTGTTGTATTTGACCACTACGTTTTGGGGTGATTTGTTATGCAGTGATTGATAACCAGAGCACACTAGTATGATCATTTCACAAATGAGGAAACTGAGGCACAAAGAGGTTAAAATGACTTGCCCAAGGTCACACAATTAGTAAGCAGAAGAGCTGGGATGTGAACCCAGGGAGTCGGGCTTCCGTGTGCACAGTATCTTGCATCTAACCCTTGAACTCGACAGACGAGGAAACTGAAACCCACAAAAGGGAGGTGACCTGCTCAGGATCAGACCAGGCTTTAGTCTAAGGGCAGGAAAATTAGCACTTAGACCTCTATTTCTGGTTTGGAATTGTTGCCTCCTCCAGTGGGTAAACTGAGACCACACCCGGGAAAGGTACCAGGATCACAGGATGGAGACTGCTCCAAGTTCTGTGACTTTGAACAAGTTCCTTAAGCTGTCTGAGTTTCAATTTGCTTGCCTAAAAAATCCTACAGTGAGGGATACGTGAAATAATGCTCAGGGCACACAGTAGACAGTTAGTTAGACTTTGAACAAGTTCCTTAAGCTGTCTGAGTTTCAATTTGCTTGCCTAAAAAATCCTACAGAGAGGGATACGTGAAATAATGCTCAGGGCACACAGTAGACAGTTAGTTAGGCAAAGGTTAAGGGGGGCGAATCTAGCCTCCAGCTGATCTTTGCTCACACAAGACCCCCACCTGGGAAATTGCTGCCTCTGGCTGGGGAAGACTGTGTGGGGAGGAGGTCAGTGGAGACGCCCCCCACATCCCCACTTCTACCCCAGCCCTCCAGCACCTGCATCCCTGGCCCAGGGCAGGTCCCAGGCTGGCAAGATTTCCTCCAGGCCCCGCTGGACAGCTTGTTCTTCAGGGAGCTCAGGTACCTCCTGCTGATGGTCCTGGGCCCAGACCCCAGGGCCTCCTCAATGTTGGCCTTCTCCTGTAGACCTGGAGGGAGGGGAGGCCTGCACCCAGGGCGGTGATGTGCATGTTCTAGGCTGTGGGCTCTGGGCACTGCTCCTGGGGTCCTAAGGAGAACAGAGCAGACTTAAGGGTTTCTTTGTCTGGAGAACAGAGAGAAAAGTAGCATGTCCCTGCTGGGGTTTTGGGGTGACTGAAGCAAATCTCTGGTGTGCCATGCCCCTGAGTGCCTGGCATTCTGTAGGAACTTGCTAAGTAAGACTTCCACTTCTCTTCCCCACGTCTTTCTTGGAGGGAACTCCAGTTTTCAAAATGAGTCAGTGTGAACTGTTTTATTCTCTGGGGAACTACATAGTTCCCTGTTTAAAATTCAGCTGTGTTTGGGAATCCCTCCTTCTGCAGACAGAGGTTTTTAAATGGCTCCCTCTAGGTCACCCTCACCTTTGGGCATCACCCCTGTTTCTAGTTTCTGACCAGTAACTTATACATCAAGGGAAGGTGGGAGCCATGGAACAAGCTAAAGTGAGGGCAGATCTGCTAAAGTTGGGGATTCCCACTGGAAGCTGTGGCCTCCACACCTCCAGCAGGGGAAAAAGCCAGGCTGGGAGCAGATTCCCTGTTCCCCTAGTGTGCAGCTTTGTGACTCTGCACACTGGGTCTGCAGGCCAGTTAAATTCTTTAGATGACAGAGGCCACCCTCACTGAATACATCCAGTGATTTGAGCTGTGCCCACTCCCCTTGGTGTGGAAAGGCTTGTGATGGCATCATAGGGTAGGCATCTTTATGAGAAAAACAGGCTGGGAGATGGAGGGCCAGACAGGTACAAAATCTCCAAAGCTTGACGAGAAAGGTTTTCATTACCCCATTTTGTGGCTAAGGAAACTGAGGTAAATAACTTGAAGCTTGGAAGTGGTAGAGGTGTAATTCAAACCAGGCAGGCTGCTCCTGAGCCTTTACCCTAAACTACCCCTCCCCATTTGAGTAAAGGAGAAGCAGGTCCAGAGAGTCAAAATGTCTTGCCCCAAGTCACACAGCTGGGTGGTGGCAGAGAGTGTGTTGGGACCCAGTCCCAGGCTGCTACTCCCAGGCTGTCCCACACCTCCCTTGCGCCCATTGCCTGGTTCCTCTGCCCATGGTTCTGCAGCTCATGGGAATAGCTGAGCCTCAGGCTTTCTGTTCTACATCTGGTTTCAGCTTCTGCATTTCTCTCCAAGTGCCCGAGGCCATCTTCTGTTTCCTCTTCACCCCCCAGTTTTAGATCAGCTAAGGCACTGGAGACCTCACACGGAAGCCCAAGCCAAGGCAGCTGACATGGGCCCCTCAGTCAATAAGGCTGGCTCTCACCCTCCTGACAATGCCAGCTCTGACTCCGCTCTGGTCTAAGGGCTGCCCCCGCCTGACAGGCTGCTGCCTGGGCAGAGCACAGCATGCTGAGGGGGTCAACCGAGTGTGTCTACTCCACACCTGGGGTGTTGGGTGAAGTGGTGCTGTCTCCCCACACCCAAGGGGTGGTGGGCCAGGAAGGTGGTGCCTAAGAGCTGTCCTTGGTGCTGAACAGGACGAGCTTGGCAAAGACCCTCGGAGAGGCAGGGTAAAGTCACCAAGCTCAGGAAGGAGAACTGCCCTTCTAGGCCCACATCTATGCCGCCTCTACCTTGAAGCCCACAGGAGGCTTTGCTTGCCCTGCCGAGCTTGGCAAAGACCCTCGGAGAGGCAGGGTAAAGTCACCAAGCTCAGGAAGGAGAACTGACCTTCTAGGCCCACATCTATGCCGCCTCTACCTTGAAGCCCACAGGAGGCTTTGCTTGCCCTGAATGCCCTCAACACAGAGTCCTGGCCCCTCCTAGGACATCTATTGTCCATGACCTTGCATTGTGGTTATTACATGAGCTCAGCATCCAAAGACAGAAATCTTCTTGCATGCTCTTGTGTCCTCTACAGCTCTTACAGGATGCTGTGCTGTCCAGGTACCCCTTCAGGACTGAGGTCCCCCCTCCAGCTGCTGGTAGTATTGGGGGCTGACAGATTATTGGCTGAGTCCCTCTCTGGGAATTGCTTTGTCTGGAACAGAACTGCCCCACCCAAAGTCTAACAACTAGTCCACGTGGAGGTACAAATACCCAGCTCTTTGCCTCAACTGGAACAACTGAGAGACATCCCAGCTCCAGAGCTCCCTGGGACGGGCTCTGTCCCAAGTGCACTGCAGTTCAACTTCTCCCTCTGGCCAATCCCACTTCCTTCACTGCCATGGGTGTTGTGCCCAAAAGCTCTGACCAGTCAACCTCCTGAAGCAAATCTCTATCTCAGAGTCTATTTCCAGAGAACTCCATCTATGGTAGTCCCTAAAACAGTCCTGGGCTTAAGAAATGCCCGCCAAGGGGATTAACATGCCCAGTCAACCTCCTGAAGCAAATCTCTATCTCAGAGTCTATTTCCAGAGAACTCCATCTATGATAGTCCCTAAAACAGTCCTGGGCTTAAGAAATGCCCGCCAAGGGGATTAACATGCCACACACACACACACACACACACACACACATACACACACACGCACGCACGCACGCACACACTGCCAGAGCCACCCACAACCTCCACACACCTGGTCCAGCCTTTCCCTTCAGACCGAAGCTCCAGCATTGCCCCGAAGCACATGAACTTAGAGCACTTGGGGTCCTCACCTCTCTCTGTCTCCTTTTCCTTATCTATATGTTGGGAATAGAAATAGAACCTCCCGCTTTAGGCTATTCGGATGAGTAAATGAAATCAGGAATGAAACAAACTAAGAACAGTGGTCCATAGGTAGGCTGACCATGCATCCTGGTTTGCCTGATACAATTCCAGCTTTATCCCCCAAATTTTAATGGTATCCACTTTCAGTTTCAATTGCGTCCTGGTTTGAGTGATGAATTATATGGTTATCCTACTCAGAGGGTGTAAATGCTTGATAAGGACCAGCCATTATTCCTGCAAGGTGCTGGAGAGGCAATGGGTGGAGTTCTGCAGCCCAAACATGGCCTCTGATCCACCCACGCTCACTCATACCTACACTCGTTTGGCCTTTCCCCAACACATACTCATACCCTCAGCTCTGCCCAGCTCCTGGTGCCCCAACAACGCTCTCTGATGCTCTGAGCAACCCATGACTGAGGGATGTGGTGTTGCCCAGACAGCAGGAGGTGTCCAGCGCAGGGCCCAGAGAGAGAACTACTCACTATGAGGGCCCAAGGTGGCCCTGGCTTGTGCCTCAGCCTGGAGGCTGGGAGGATCTGTGCCGCCTGAGGGCCTGGGGGAGTGGAGGGGCTGGTGGGAGGCTGCCAGTCCGCCATGGCGACCCTTCCCCCAGCAGCTGCCCATACCTGCTGTTCTCAAATACAGTCACCAAGTTGGACACAGATGTCAGCTTCTCCTCACTCGTGCTCTCCATCCTGCAGGCCTCCGGGGTGGTCCTCAGCTACTTCTGAAGCAAGCAGGGAGGCCTCCAGCCAGCATGCTTGGCCACGCCGGCCTGGGGACACAGATGGGCTAAGACATCCCAGAGTCTACTCACATCTTTCCCGAGGGCTCAGCAAGCCTGCTCCTGGCTTCAGAGTGGGGAAAAAGGAAGTGGTCCCAGAGCCGCAGCTCTGCAGAGGAAAGGCACCCGGTGCTTCCTGCAGTGGGAGGAGCCTGTTCTGGCCCCACCCCTCCCTTACGGGGGCTGACCTTTCACCCCTGTAGACCCCCCTGTTTCAGAGGCCACATGCAATGGGGCAACAAGGCCCAGAGGTAGTTTCTAGAGCAGGACCTTGGCTGGCTTCTTGACCTGGTGGCTCTGGCCAACCACACTTTTTCCTTCATGAGGTCCAGTGGCTTTACTTGGTCCCTTTCTCAGCAACTTCTTTTTTGCATCTGCCCCTGCTCACTGCTGTAAGGAAACAGCTTCTTTTATTAAAAATAGATCACAAACCTGTTTAGGCTGGCAGGGAGGAGTACTGTGGTGTCCCTACCTCCCCACTGGGGGTCTCTGATTTTATTGGTTGCTGCTTTCACCTTGTTGCCCCAAGGGAGGGCAGCTTCCTCCCTGAAACTCTAGTAATAATAATAATAGCTAACACACACTCTTTTTAGTGTCTTATGAGTATTTTCTTATTTAATCCTATAACAACCTTACGAAGTGGGCGCTAGTACTATCCCCACTTTACACAGGAGGAAGCTGAGGATCAGAGAGGTTAAGTAACTTGCCTAAGTCACCCAGGAAGAATGTAAGAGAAGTCAGATTTCCAAAGCAAAGGTGGCTGTCCTGTAATTCCAGCAGAGATTTGTTGGGAGCCTGGATGACCACATTCTTGCTGCTCCATCCCCAGGCTTCCCTGCACCTAGCATGCTGGATTATCTCTGCGTGATGCCTCCTGAACCACCTGGTCTCCCAGCCCTTCCAGAACAAATGGCCACTGCCTCTGTTCCCCTCATTCAAATCTCGCAGGCTGTTCAGGGCTCTCCCACTGGGTTCAGGCCAAGGGCCTCCATTGAGACTGGTTTTTGTCATGGAGTGTAGGGACTGAGCCTTAGTCATCTGGGTACTCAAAGCACCTGACACAGCTTCACGCTCCAGCAACTGTGAACCTCTGGGGCTTCACACGCCCAACAGCCCTCTGAGCTGTTTCTTCCACCAGATGCCTGGCCCTTCCCCCAACCCTAAATCTCACTGATCCTTCTCACTTTCTTGTTTTTGCTCTTATTTTTTATTATGGAGAATTTAGAACATATGCAAAATCAGGCAGCATACTATAATGCACCCTCATGAATTCGTAACCCCGACCCAGCAACCATCAACTCACATCCAGGCCCCCATCCCATGTGCAACCACATCTACTTTATCTTCCATATAATTTTGAACCAAATCCCAGACAGTACGTGATTTCATCTCTACATATTTTAGTGTATTTCTAAAAGATAAGGACTCTTTAAATAAACAAACAAATAAGTAAATAAAGCATATACACATATATATAAATGCACATACATTCACATTTATCATAGTAATATTGTTTTATATATACATACATATATTTTATATATGTTATATGCATGTGTATGTATATATGAAATAATCTTACCATTATCACACCCCAAGAGATATTGAACAATAATTCATCAATATAATTAAATATTCAGAAAGCATTCAAAGTGCCAATACCTTATAAACGTCATCATTTAAAAAAAAAAAATCAGGTCTGCTGGTTAGCTCACTTGGTTAGAGAGTGGTGCTGATAACATCAAGGTCAAGGGTTTGGATCCCCATACTGGCCAGCTGCCAAAAAAAAAAAAAAAAAAAAAAAATCAGGACCCGAATAAGGTCCACATAACCCAGTGAGCTGTGTCATCATCAATTAACTCACTTTTCATCCACGGGTTCACCCTCATTCTTTTGTTTTCCCACACAATATTATAGTTGATGAGGACACTGGGTTGCTGGCCCCACAGGTCCCATGGCTAGGACTTTGCCCATTGCAGTGTTGGTTAGATCTAGAGGCTCAATCAGATTCACCTTTAAATGTCACTCCTTCCTAGATGGCCCCCCTGGTCTTGGGGGCCTCCCTCCATGGTGTCCCTCTCTCCTCGACTGCGGTGCCCCGTTTCCTCCTCTGCCTCCCATCAGTGTATGTGCTCACTCCTCGTGGGCAGGGCCTGTGAACGTGTACTTCCTGGCTGGTCACCATCCCCAGCACTGTGTCCTACACACAGTGGGGCTCAGGAGGTGTGTGAAATGGACATATATCACATCCCAAGCCCCAGAGGATTGTCATACTCCCCAGTTGCCAGTGCCTTGAGCTTCCAGAGCAGGATCTGGGCCCAAACAGACATGCCCCTCACGTGGGAGCTAGAGGGTGTGTAGAGACTTTCAAGAGGCCCTCCAATACCCCAACCCTGAACATGGCACAGGTACCATCAAAGCTGCATCCACTCAGGAAGGGGAACAAGATGCACACAGCCCCAAAACAATCTCCCCTCATCTTCCAGGTTCTGCCTCGCCTGCCCCCACCACCCTGACCTCGGCCCCTCACTATGCCAGCCTTTCTGCCTGACTTGCTTCTCGTCTGCACCTCCAGGCATCACTTGAGGCTCAGCCCAGGCCTTCGGGTCTCCAAATTTACACACACCTCCTGCCACTCACTTGAGAATTTGTTCCAGAGGTCCCACCCCAGCAGGTACGCCAGCACCTTCAGAACTTCGCCAGGTAGATATCTCACCTTCACTTCCAATTCAACACACAGTCTCTAAAACCAGCACGATCATCCCAAAAAAGGAATCCCAAACTTGCTGGCATGGCTGTCAAGACCCTCTTGGTCTGGTCTGGCCCTGCTCAATCTTCCTAGGCATTTCTTCCCTGCACAAACCCAATCTGGGTTGAGATTAAGGCCCACCATGTGACCTTGAGGCTGTGTGACCTGAGTGGTGGCTCTGTGCTGTGTCAGCTGAGCTAAGCCAAACCACAGTCCCAGAATTCCCTTCCCCACGTGGTCTGGACTACACTTGGCCATGGTAGCAGGAAGGGACTCTGCAGCTGTGTTTCACTCCTGAGGTCTGTGCAGGGTTCTGGCACTGCTGCAGCTCATGCATGTTGATGCAGGTCCATGGATTCTCCATCAATCTCCTTTTTAGCTTGTCCTAGTCATGGGCCATGTGTGTGTTTAGTTCCAGGACAAAAGTTGCCAGCTTCTCCTATGTCATTGAAGGTGGTGGCTTGGAGGTGGCTGCCTGTCCATGTCCCAGAGTCCCAGCTCTTTCTCACTGGTTGAGCTCATTCTTGCTCCCTCCCACTTCACACTTAACTTCCCTTCCCCACTGCCTGCCCTGCTTCCTTTAGACTCGGAGTGTTAACTCTTCAAGCAGCTGCCCCACTGTACAAGGTCAGATCCTGAATTCTGTATCACTCCTGGTTGTTCTGCTTCTCTATAATACCTTGGGCCAGTTACTAGACTTCACTTTCCTCTTCTGTAAAATGGGGATGATTATAGTGCCAACTGATGATTATAGTGGTTGTTATGAGGATTAAATGGGATAATAATATGTATAAGGGCTTAGAGTAAGGCCTGGTACAGAGTAGCCACTGGGTGAATATTGGCTACTAGTGTTCTTAGTCCTGAGGGAAGCCCTCTGCTACGGCTCCTCCCTGCACTGACCAATCTGTTCCCTTTGCCTAGAGTACCCTGTGAGTAGCCTGTCCACTTGCTCCAGGAATTCTTTCTTGATATCCACTGCTGGAAATTCCTTTTCCTCCTCACAGACCTGCTGTTCCTCTCTGTGTAATTTTATCTATTCTTCCTCATTCATTAAGTCATGCATTCGGTTGACAAGTACCTCTTGAGCATCTACTGTACGTTAACACTATGGTAGAGATTGTGGATTAAACACAGTCCCCCTGCTCCTTAGCTCAAAGCCTAATGAGGAAGAGGGGCCTGTTAACTACTAAAACATGAGATGACAAGTATTTTGAGCAAGGGAGTTACGAACACCCAAAGAGTCATCAGAAGGCTTCCTAACAGAGGTGGCCTCGAAGGATAAAAGACGAGTTAACTCTCCAGGTGGACATGATGGGAAAGGCCTGCAAAGCAGAAGGAACAGCATGTGTGAAGGGCTGTGGGCCTGAGAGACCCTGGCTAGACTGGGAAGAGCAGGGGGTCTCCCATGGCGGGGTGTCCCGGGACTAGGGAATGGCGGAACATGCGGCTGAAGGGGCCCCAGGAGCCTGGCCTTGGTGGGCTCTGTTTGCCAAGCTGAGGTGCTTGTGAGCTAAGCAGAGTGGGTACAGAGTTTTAAGCAAAGAAGCCCCTGATCCAATGGGTGTGAACAGATCTCTCTCTGAGTGGGTGCAATGTCTCCATTTCGGGGCTCTTGGGGTCCTTGGTATGGATAAGCCTCTTGCTTTTCTCTCCTCTTCTCTGCTTTCAAGCCCTAGGGAGGAAGGAAGAGCTTAGTTTTCTGCAGCCCAGACAGGGGGAAAGTGGGTAGTGGGGGCGGGGTGTGGATACCCCAGCAAGAATTGCAGGGCTGGGCAGAAAGCTCTACCCTGGGATGTAGAGGGGGCTTTGTGTGTAGATTGAGGACACCCAAATGTTAGCTTTGGGGTAATAAGGGGGCATATGGGAGCTGCTAAGGAGGAAGTGTCAGAATTTAGGACCTGGACACTGCAAGGGTAGTGTGTGTGTGTGTGTGTGTGTGTGTGTGTGTGTGGTGTGGTGTGTGTGTAGGTGTGTAGGAAATCTCTAGGGGGGTGTGAGGGTATAACTTTTTCAGGGGAGAATGAGGACTCCTCAGAGGGGCACTTATTCCTAGGGATCCACAGCCTGGGAGGGGAGAGATTGGCACATTCCCAGGCACCCCCTTATTCCCAACCCCATTCCCAGCTTCAGCCAAATACATGGCACCTGCCAAGTGCTTAAT